ATAACCATTTATATGTTGGGAACAGACAACGAGAAGGTAGAAAGTGCAAATATCTTGGAATTAGAACGAAGGGGACAAGAAGATACAACGAGAAGGTAGAAAGTGCAAATATCTTGGAATTAGAACGAAGGGGACAACAAGATACAACGAGAAGGTAGAAAGTGCAAATATCTTGGAATTAGAACGATGGAGACAACAAGATACAACGAGAAGGTAGAAAGTGCAAATATCTTGGAATTAGAACGATGGAGACAACAAGATACAACGAGAAGGTAGAAAGTGCAAATATCTTGGAATTAGAACGAAGGAGACAACGAGATACAACGAGAAGGTAGAAAGTGCAAATATCTTGGAATTAGAACGAAGGAGACAACGAGATACAACGAGAAGGTAGAAAGTGCAAATATCTTGGAATTAGAACGAAGGGAACAAGAAGATACAGCTTCAGGTTGAGAAAGAAATAATACATAAAAGATTGCAGGAAATAATTCATTTATAATAGGGTGATTGACCAATAAACTTCTCTAGAAAGACTGCAGCATTAGTAACAATAGCAAAATGGAGCAAATAAAAAGTTATAATGCATTAGTGCGAATAATTTAATTCTCAATGTTGTTATTCAGTAATTAATTAGGGGTGTTCCGTAGCTCGATTGTTAGCGCACAGCTCACACATTGAGGTCCGGGGTTCGATCCCCAATACGGGTGGGAAACATTAGGACGTGTTTCCTTAAGACACCTGCTGCCCCTCTTCACCTAGCAGTAAAATAGATACCTGGGTGCTAGTCGACTGGTGTGGGTCACATTCTGGGAACAAAACTGACCTAATTTGCCAGATATGTTCTGCAAAACAAGAAACTTTCTATATACTATGTGACTGATGTTAACTATGGTCTGTACACCTAATATATATACTTGTAGAAATTAAGATTTATTTATCCCCAAGAGGTACCTTTAAGAGGTTACCATATTTGTGTTTTCTTCAGAGAGAAGCTATAAGAAGGCTGACAAGTGGCCAGACAAGTGGCCAGACAAGTAGCTACCGGTGTTTACTCCAGGCAAGTACAAGGCCATTCAAATCACAGAGAGAGAGTGATGGAATACCTATCACATCGCCAGAGGCGCGAATAAATCGCATACCATCAGCAACTTCAATAAGGAAACCTTTAGGACTTTCTATGTGCTATATGTTAAACTTATCCTAGAATGGGTAGCACCACCAACGAACTAGGAATTCGAGGAAGACCATTCAGAAGCTGGAGAGAGTGGAGAAGTCTGCAGCTAAGTTGGTTTCAGAAGTGAAGGGGGTTGAACTGAGAAGACTGGCTTAAATTATTCAATCTAACAACCTTGAACAGGACGAGGGAAGACGTGAGACACTAGCGACCCACAAGGTACTCGGAAGATTTGATAGAGAAGACTTAGACCGATATGAGAGTCTCTTAGGCAAGAAGACGTAGATGGAATCTGAGATATAATAATAATAATAATAAATATTATTATTATTATTATTATTAATTCTAATAGCAACAACGGCAACATCAGCAACAACAATAGTAATAATAATATTATTATAACCAATTTAAGCGCTAAACCGGTATGGGTCATAAAGAGAAGAGTCATAGAGACGACTGGTAATGCTTCTTCATTGATTAGAAGTTTCTGGAAGCACACACCATACACACTTTTAGCAGAAGATGTACTAGGTAAGAGGACACACACATTTACACACACAACAACACACACACACACACACACACACACACACACACACACACACACACACACACACACACACACACACACACACACACACACAGGGAGAGTGACCTAGTAGCGATCAGTGAAGAGGCGGGGCCAGGAGCTCGGACTCGACCCCCGCAACCTCAACTAGGTGAGTACAACTAGGTGAGTACACACACGCACACGCACACGCACACGCACACGCACAGTTGACAAGATGAACAGAGAGGGACAGAATATTCCTGAGATGGAAAACAGGAACATGAAGACACAACTTGAAGTTGAACATTCAGATGAGTCAGAGGGATGTCAGAAGTATTTTTTCAGCCTTAGGGCTGTCAGGAAGTGAAATACTCTGAAGAGTGAAGTCGTAGAGGAGGGATTCATACATAGCTTTAAGAAGAGGCACGGCAAGGGTCTTTTAGCCGGGAGAGAGTGGACTTAGTAATGACCAGTCTAAGGCAGGACTAGGAGTTTCTATTCGACCCCTGCAACCCCTTACAGGTGACTACATATAGGCAAATACACACCCACCCACACACACACACACACACACGCGCACAGACACACACACACACACACACACACACACACTATATTTTTGGACTGAAGAAAAGGCATTAGATGCAATATAAGTCTGGAAAAAAGCTAGAGTAGCAGGCGGGAATAACAGAGAAAGCACAACAGTGGATTAAGGAATACTTAACAGGGAGGATACATCGCGTTACTGTCCAGAAGATTTCGGAATGGGCAAGTGTGACGAGTGGGGTTCCTCAAGGGTCGGTACTTGGGCCAGTATTTTTTTGTGTATAAACAATATGACAGAAGAAATCGAGTTGGAGGTGTTCCTGTTTGCAGATAACATGTAAGTAATGAGAAAAGTGTTCAGAGGAGCAGACCAGGAAATACTACTATCGAATCAGGACATGTTGCAGGATTATTAAACCATACCACGGACGGGGATAGAACCCGCGATCAGAGAGTCTCAAAACTCCAGACCGTCGCGTTCTATCCCCGTCCGTGGTATGGTTTGTTTGCAATCGTGTCATTACGATTTCGTGAGTCTTGCAGGATTATTGTCATTAGTTGCTGTTAGAATTTAACCCCAGAAAATGAAAAGTTATGAAGATCGAGAAATGGCAAAGGTCGGAAACAGAGTATAGGCCTGGCTGCAAACCTTCCTCAAAGAAAAGGCCTATTTTGGAGTACGCTGCGCCGGTATGGAACTCGTATCTGACATAGTTTACAAAGAAGTTGGAAAATGTGCAGAGGTTTGCAACAAGACTAGTCCCAGAACTGAGAGAAATTAGCTGAGAAGAGGTTAGAGGAACTAAACCTGACTACATCTGAGGACGGAAGAAGCATGGCTGACATGATGGCGATGTACAAAGTAATGAGAGGAACTGACAGGGTGGACATGGTGAGCCTGTTTGAGAGGCGGAACTCAGGTACACAAGGGCACAGGTGGAAGTTAAAAATACAAATGAGCTAGGAAATACTTCTTTAGCCTTTGAGTGGTCAGGAAGTTCAACGACCTCGATAGCAAAGTAGTAGTGGCAAGTTTCATACATAGCTTTAAGAAGGGGTATGATAAGGCTCACGGAGCCAGGAGAAAGTGAATCCACTGGAGAGGCGAAGCTAGGATCAAATAATCAACTCCTGCAACCACAAATAGGTGAGTAGCAATAGGTGAATACACCCCCATCCACACTCCAAGACAACCAACCACGCACTCACCCACCCACCATACACACACACACACACACACACACACACACACACACACACACACACACACACACACACACACACACACACACACACACACACACGGGACGGGACACCAAAACCATACCTCTGCACCTATAGCTACAAACAGGTAATTACACACAAATCTGGCAATAATCAAGTTGAGAAGCGGGACCATGAGCTAAGATTCGACTCTACAAAAATATATAAATGAGCACATACACACACAAAGATGAAAGTTAAAAACACAGATGAGTAACAGGGAAGTTAGGAATTATTTCTTTATCCTCAAGTCAGAAAATGGAGAGACCTAGACAGCCAAGTGGTAGAAGCCGCATCCATACATTGTTTTATGAACTGATGTGAAATGGCTCAGTCAGTCACGGGAGGGGAAACCCAACAGCGGCCAACGGAGAAGCGGGATCAGGAGCCGAGACTCGGCCCCTGGAACAACAAATAGGTGAGAACACAGGCGCACATACATGCTAACACTCAAGAGGCAAAGCGTCTGTCGACAAGTACTCCTCAAAGATTAGTGTCTTACAAACACACACACACACACACACACCGCTACCCACTCATTGCATCAGGAAGGTGAGTTAGTGCCCTAGAACGCTACTATCTTGCCCTCTTGCTCAAGACTGCTCCAACAATCTCTCTTCACCGCTTTCTTTCCTGCACTTAGGCTCGCTAGCTTCCTGGTTCTGTTTTGCGTAGTCCTCACCTAGTGCTCCTCACCATAAAAATAAGCTCGCTAATATAACGCTTTATGTTAAGTTTACGGTCCTGATAGGTTGCTTATCATGCGTAATCAAACTCAGACATTGAGGTTTTAACATTGCTGATAATGTATTTCCTGGAACTTCGTTCTAAAACATTCACAATGGTGGGGCCACACTTTCACACTACAGTTTATTAGACGGTAAAAGCTAAGCACTGCTAATCTACGCTATAGCTTTCTTAGTTTCTTTCCTCTCACAATAGAGCGCAACGCACCTGCCCAATATTTGAAGCAATTTTATATGGGTTTTTCTGGCTACGTTGAATTCTACACAGTAAGAACTATTGTCTTCCCTCAGTTGCCAAGAATGCAATCACTCACCGGAATCCCAGCCACAAGAGTTGTAATACCCAGTTGTAATACCCCAATGGAAATATAAAGGACCCCAATGGAAATAAGTCACTCTGTCTGACTTTTTTGGGTTATCCTAGGTTCTCTACACATATGCTGCTATGTATGATAATTCTATGTAACTGTATTGTGTATACCTGAATAAATTTACTTACTTACTTACTTATATGGTGAAGACCTGGTCAATGATACTGACAAGTTCAGTCCTACGACCGAAACGTTACCACGATAAAATGGCCTTAGGGTCTGGTCACGTGAATTTGTACTCGATTGTGAACCAAAAAAAAAAAATACCGTGGTGCTATGATCCGCCTATTTCTGAGTTATTTCTGACCACAAAAATAAAAACAACTAACCGAACAGAAAATTGAACTTACGTCAGATAGTGTGTGGGCGTTGCTAGTGAGAATATCACCTGGCCTTGCAGAAGGTGCCTTGAGAGTTTGGTTAAGTTGTTCATTAGTTGTGGTCCCCTGGCGCCCACTTCACGAACCCCTTCGTGAACCCATCCGTAAAACTAGCCACACTTCATCACACACCACCATGCGTCACCACGCACCACCATACACCACCACACGTCACAATATACCATCCATCAAACAATACCTCACACGCTCAAACACCACCACCTTGCTCACACCACCTTGGTCACACCACCTTGCTCACACTCTTCACACCACCTAACCATTACACACCACCACACACCACCACGCACCTCCGGTGATTAGTGACTAGGTCCTAGGACTAACATACAAGCTAAATTTGCTGACACGGCCAATCACTCTGAACAAATTGTGGATATAGACTCCGGAATGAGAATTTTTTCTTTTACGGTTTTAATAGCTATATGATTATGATTTAAGTAATAGTGAACTGGTCAAGACAGTTGCAAATTGATAATTATGGTTTTAATTTGATGACGCTAAGACACGGAAATCGTTTAAGGCACCGAACTACCAAACGATTCTAGCGTCTTGTAAATACAGTAATACAAACACGAAGTCATACACTCTCAAACACCATCTCACATCAAAATACATCCAAACACACATCGTCTGACTTTTGTTTTTTTGTCGAGTGCGTACATGGAATATTATGAAGCTATTCAGGAAATCCAGGTAGCCGCGTACTGGGGTTATGGAGATGGAAAGTACTGTACAGTGTCTGCCATTTGAAAGTGAGGTTAGGTAATTGTGGTGTTGTGGGCCAGCAGCATAACATGATGTATGTGCCCTTCTAGAAAGCAGCTAAGGAGAGAGTGATGGTGAAAGTGTTTTCTTTATAGGCTTAAGCTGCGGGCTAGACACTTGCTTTTACACAGTAACCACTGGTTAACCCCTTAACTGTCCAAACGTTGATCTACGTTCTCTCGCCCAGTGATACGAATATTTAAAAAAAAAAAACTTGTTAATGAGGCTGACCAGAGACTTAACAGGACTCAGTGTACAGTACTAAAAAAAACCCAGTATATACGGTATTAACATCTGTCTGATAATGACAAATACCTCCTCTTGAATAGCTGCATTCCTAACAATAAATCTTAATAATATAATTAAACACTAAACCAGCAGACTAGCACCAAATAATGTGGTGTCACATACAATGTAGCGCTATGCTACTCACACCTGAGAATACTGAGTCGGAATATTTACATTAACTACTAAACCAGAGAACGTTTTTCCTCGTTTTAGCGCTAGAGGAGACATCCTGTTATTGCCATCTCGTTATTGACATCCTCTTATTGACATCTTCGTTACTTGCATGTTGAAAATGGTATAAAATGGCGACAAGTTTCGCCTGCACAGTAGGCTTCATCAGTCAAATACAGAGGCAGCAGGTGTAGTAGTGAAATGAAAATGATGTAATCAGTCCATCAACCTTGGAGATACGAGGTGGTCAGTCCCTCAGCCTGGAGAAGAGTTCAGCTTCATGGTCTGGAGCGAAATGAAGCTGAAGCATGAGAATGAAGTCTTAAATACTGTCGAGGGTGAGGTGGAAGATCCCGAAGACGTTGTAAGGGACGGGATTCACTAGTGGAAGCAAGAGGACAGGTCCCTCTAAAATCCAACACTTCTCACTCACAACTTGTAGTTACGCGATGAAGTGTGTATGATGTCCTCTACCCAGATACCGTTGTATCTGGGAGTTATGGTATAAAACACGGACAAGTTGATGATTAAGACACATGTACAACACTTACTGGTATCCTCATTACCACTTAAGTGTCTGTGTAATACTAGTTTTTCAGTAGGTACACCGATAACTACAGAGAGACTGAGTCCTACTATAACGATGACGGACACTATGAATGTTTTTGCTGCATTTCAAGGCAATGTAGATTTCCCCTAAGTAATATTTTTTTTAAGACTGAAGCGTGAGACGAGGTGTAACAGAGTGAAATACTGTGTCTGTGTACTTACCCATTTGTGGTTGCAGGGGTTGATTCACAGCTCCTGGCCCCGCCACTTCGCAAGTCACTACTGGGTCCACTCTGTCCCTGCTCTGTGAGTTATATCGTACCTCTTCTTAAAGTTATGTATAGATCCTGCCTTCACTATGTCACTCTCCAGATTGTTCCACTTCCTGTCAACTCTATGACTCAAGAAATACTTCCTAACATCCCTGTGACTCATCTGAGTTTCCAAATTCTAGTTGTGTCCCCTTGTTGCCATGTCACATCTCTGAAACATTCTGTCCCTATCCACCTTGTCAATTCCTCTCAGTATCTTATGTCATTATCATGTTCTCCCTATATCTCCTGCCCTCCAATGTCGTCAGGTTGAGTTCTCTTGACCTTTCCTCGTTGGCCATACTCCTTAGCTCCGGGACTAGTCTTGTTACAAAATTTTGCACTTTCTCTAATTTCTTTACCTGCTTGACCAGGTGAGTTGCATTCTGGTGCTGCATACTCCAATATGGGCCTGACGTACACGGTGTGCAGTCTTGAATGACTTCTTACTTAGGTGTCGAAACGCTGTTCTTCGGTTTGCCAGGCGTCCATGTGCTTTAGCAGTTATTTGGTTGATGTGCGCCTCAGGAGATGTGCTTGGTATGATACACCAAGATCATTTTCCTTGAATGTGGTTTGTAGCCTTTGGCTCCCTATCCTGTACTATTTCTGCGGTCTTCTTTGACCTTCCCCAGTCTTCATGACTTTGCACTTGGTTGGGTTAAACTCCAGGAACCAGTTGTTGGACCAGGCCTGCAGCCTGTCCAGATCCCTACGAAGTTCAACCTGATCTTTATCCGCTTGACTTCTTCGCATTAGCTTCACATTGTCTGCAAAAAGGAACACCTCTGAGTCAGTCCCTTCCGTCATGTCATTCACACATACTAGAAACAGCACCGGCCCCGGGACTGACCCTGTGGAACCCCGCTCGACACAGACGCCCATCCTGACACCTCGTCATGTACCATCACTCGTTGTTTCCTTCCTGTCAGGTATTCTCTGATCCATTGCAGTGCCTTTCCTGTTATTCTTGCCGGCTCCTCTAGCTTTCGTACTAATCTCCTGTGTGGAACTGTGTCGAGAGCCTTCTTACAGTCCAAGAAAATGCAGTCTACCCACCCCTTTCCCTCTCTCTCTCTCTCTCTCTCTCTCTCTCTCTCTCTCTCTCTCTCTCTTGACTCACTTCTAACTTCTGTGACTTTGTCATGAAACTCCAGTAGGTTTGTGACACAGGATTTTCCTTCCCTGGTTATCGTGTATCAGCTCATTCCTTTGTAGGTGTTCTACCACTCTTCCGATAATCTTCTCCAAGACTTTGCGTACTATACACATAGGTGATACTGATCTGTGGTTTAATACTGTCTGTCTGTCTCCTTTCTTAAAAACTGGAACATTTGCTGTCTTCCACACCTCAGGTAGTTGCCTGTTTCGATAGATATATTAAAGATTGTTGTTAGTGGTACACAGTGCCTCTGCTTTCTCTCTCAGTATGCAGGGAGAGATGTCTCCTACCGCCTTCGAGGTAACTAGTTCACTTAACAGCCTCTTCGCCTCCTCCTCGGTTGTGTATATTGTGTCCAGCACTGGTTGGTGTACCCTGCCATTTTGACTTTCTGGAGTTTAGTCTGTCTTCACTGAAAATACTTCTTTAAACCTCGTGTTGACCTCTTCTCATACTTCTTGGTCATTTTCTGTGATCTCTTCTCCTTCCTTCCTCAACCTCAGTTCTTGACTATTGTTTTCCTCCTGATGTAGCTGTACATCAGCTTTGGATCAGGTTTGACTTTTGCTGCTTTGTCATTCTGGTATTGCAGCTGGGCCTCCTTCTTCATCTTTGTATATTCTGGCTCTTTGACAGATCTCCTTACTTTCCTGCATCCTTTGTCTTCTATACTTTTTCCATTCTCTAGCACACTTTTTGACATACATGCTGAACACTGAGTCTAACACCTCAGAACCATCAGGTATCTCACCAGCTTCACTTACTTCTTTACATGGACGATTATGTAAATCACGTTGAATGTCCCAAGTTATACATTTGCAGAATCCTTCGTTAAGGATTTGTTAAAACGATGCATAGAAGTTATTTGACATTTGCTTCACTCTCACAAAATAACAACATGACTGCCCAGACAGACAATTTAGCTTACGAAAGAACTGCTGCGTTTAGCAATGACAAGTTCGTATACATCTACTGCAGCAGACTTTACTTCCTTATAGCCAACATTGGATAACAAAGTAGTACGTATCTGTGCTCGGTGTAATGTAGTGTCATCAGTGAATTTCCTTCATTCTATTTCTTCGTCAAGGTAATTCATGAATATCAAGAACCAAAACAACTTCTCGTGGAATACCAGAGGGATTTCACCTCATTTCTGCAAACTCTTTGCTTCCTATTAGTCAGCCATGTTTTCATCCTTGCTAGAAATTTTCCCTCCAGTACCATGTGCTGCCACTTTCTTTAATAATCTTCAGTGTAGGACTCTACCGAAAGCCTTACTGAATTCCTTATATAAAACACCAGCCACTGGCACAAACACTTTACCAAACACAATCAGTAAATTTATTTTATGAATCTGGGTTATCCCTCATTAATTATGTTCACTAAGATGTCTTCTAATTCTTTCCGCAATTCTTGCTTCATTATTAAGATCAGGATAATTGTATAGCATTTCAATGATAGAGATTTATTCCATATTTTGTAGATAGGAATCATATTTACCATCCACTGCTCATATGTGTCGAGCCTAAAAGGGAGGAACTTGCCGAATAGGCTGAGTTCAGTTAAATCAGACTTCCCCAAAAATTATTTTTTAGAAAGGCAGATAATTATCTTTTCATGGTATAAAGATTTAAATTTCTGAGCTAAATCCAACCTAGAAACCTCTTTCTACCTAACCTAAACTAATGCATTTTTTAATTAAATTCTGCTATATGTATCATAGGTTAGTTTAAATTTGTTTATAATTACTTAAAATTAATGACATCATTTTTTTTCTCATGACGTTCACATTGATTTTTGCAGATTTATGGGAAAAATAAATTTTCATTTCGTTTATTCGGCATAAAACGCTCTTGCGAAATAAACCGAACCGGCGAGTTTATTCTATTCGGTATTTTCTGTAGAATAAGATGGAAATTTATTTTTGCCATAAATCTTCAAAAATCAGTCTGAGCATCACGTCTGGTTTCCATTGTGAGATGTCAAAATTTGGGGTGGTAGCTATGAAGGTAAATTTTATGATTTC